AAAAGTAAAACGATTTCCTGAATGTTTAAAGGAGCTCTAAATAAAACAAAGTTTGAGCTTTACTATCACAGACTTGAAGATCGGTCATATAATACGATGGTCATTCAAGTAAAGAGACAAATTCTATAATTTTAAAACTATTCAATGAATGTGTACAATCTTTTCGGGGGTGTTTCATCATTTTATGTCAACATAACCTCAACATTTTCAATTCACCATGGCAAGTCCACTAGAAGATTGCACCTTAGAAGAGCAGCGTTCAGTCATTAGATTTTTAGTCACAGAAGGTGTAAAACCAAGTGAATTTTTTTTTTCTAGAATAAATATAGCAGATTGGCAGGTGCTTTTTGGAATACGAAAAATTGATACTTACATCTTGCATCTGTAAGTCCGTCATATTTGCAGAACTGCAAAGTTGCAGGCTTGCTTTTTCTATAATCTCGCCCTCTACTAATTGATCATTATTTTGTACCTTAGCAGAGCAGCGCTCAGTCATTAGATTTTTAGTCACAGAAGGTGTAAAACCGAGTAAATTTTTTTCTAGAATGTTGATACAGTACGGTAAATGTTGTATGAAGCGTGCGAATTTTTACAAGGGGGTTGATCGGTTTAAAAGTGGCCGAACAAGTGTAGGTGAAGTGATGCTGACCATCTTTTGGGACTCACAGCCAATACTACTCTGAGATGCTAGAACACAAAGTTAGACCAGCTATCAGGAGCAAACGACGTGGACTCTTGTCAAAAGGAGTCATTCTTCAGACCGATAACGCCCGCCCTCTTACAGCCCAGCTGACCCGTGATAAGCTTCAAGAATTGGGTTGGGAGGTCTTACCTCATCCTGCCTACAGTCCCGACCTCGCCCCATCTGATTTTTACCTGTTTGGACCACTCAAAAACGCGCTACGTGGAAAAAAATTTACTAATAATGAGGAAGTTAAGGAAGCGGTGCAAAAGTGGCTTCGGGGTAAATCGAAAGAATTATTCGCCAAGGGAATTAGGAAGCTGCAAGAAAGATGGGACGAGTGCATAACTGTGGAGGATGATTATGTTGAAAAATAGCCTTAATTTTGAAAGATTTAAATAAACCGGTTTTGAGATATAGCCATTTGTCTCTTTACTTATTGAGTGACCCTCGTATAAATACCAGAAAAATCAAATTCCATAAATATCGCACAAGTTGTTTCCAAAATAATTGGAGCGTTTCATACATTAGCCTCAGTTCGTATAATTACTGTATATTTCAAAGATTCTCTGTAAAATTGTGCAATAAATATCTATCTATTTTTATCTGAATTCGTATTTTTTTAAAATATAAAATATTTTACAAATCCATCAGGAGATATAATATAATAATATTATGTACCTGGATATAATATAATAATATTATGTACCTGGATATGTTATGAGCATAGATATAGAAACCAGGTTATGAGAAACCTTCTACCATATGTAGAGTCCCTTAGGGTGTATCATATGAGCATTAAAAAGTCCCCTTCGTCATTAATATTAATTTTGCCAAAAATTTATATTGACGTAAAATATACAAGGATTACTACATTTTTTTAATTTTTTGGTGAAACTGTACACTGTTGCAGGGGCGGTTTCTCCATTGGTTCATTTGTGCAGTGAACACCCAGTTAAATTTTATAAAAACACTTATTTTAAAATTACATAAATAACAAAAATATAAATTTATTTTAATATTTTTATTTTCATACGTGTTAATCTATATTTTTTGGTACATCATTGCCCTCTGGCTGATCGCGTCTCTGTGACATAGAATACCTAAGTATACTGTGTCTGTGGCGCATTATGATGAGTGAGCCTAACACGAGTGAGACGATTTGATGAATGCATAAAGTTAAAAAGAGAAAACAACACGCCAACATATCCTTCAAACGTCAAAAGAACTCATTAATTGGCGCGTCGCTCACAAACAAGGTTGCCAAACCAGTGTTGCCAGTCTAGTACAATTTACAATTGTACTAGATGTAGTAAATTTTGCTTGAGGCAGTGTTCACGTGTAAAATATATATATAAATATATTGTGTTCCTTGTTTGGGTTCGTTATCTATAAAAACCCCCTTTTTTCCTCTTCAATAAATTAGATGTCACTGCAAATAGAATTCGAAAAATCTGGTACATAACAAAAACATATTCTGGCAACACTGTACCAAATCAAACAAACTGTCATTCCGTCTACCTGGGGATCGGTTATATCGTGCGAATTTAGAGATGAGTAGTAATCCGTAAATGTACCTACTTAATACTTACAGATTTGCTAATATCCATCTCTAAATTCTAGTGTGACACCGGAAAAACTTGGAACTTTAGAGACGTTGTAACCGAACTTTGATTTTAGTTCAAGGACGACTTACCCAACTCCGACTCAGCTGAGTTCTGTTTATAAATATGAACCTGAATATATTTGTATCCTTGTTTATCGATATATAAAATAAGAAAGTGAGAATACACTCAGTGAGACACGAGATCCCTTTACAAATTATACTTTTTATGGATTTTTGTGTTCCGTGAACCGAATTTTCGTTGTTTTGAGGTTGGCTGTACTGGTCTTAGGTTCTGTGTGAATTTACTAGTGTTTATGTACGTATCGTATTTGGTGAAATTTATAAAAACAAATAGACATAATTTCGAGAATCGAGTGCTTATAAAAAAGAATGGCCCACCTCGATCGGAGATAAACATTGTTCAAGAATGTGCTATAAGAAATAGAAAGTTTAAACATACTTTTAAGATTGAACAATATAAAAAAACTTCGTGGTTGTGCGGGTGCGATAAACAACATGCTTTGTTTTGTTTTCCTTGTTTAGTTTTTGCAAACAATGAAAATACTAAATCAGAAAGGACAAAAACGGGTGTTAGGGAATTATCTCATTTATCAGCAAAAATTAAAAAACACTTTTATTATTATTATTAAACTACTGAACTACCCAATAATTCGAGCAAAAACCTGACACTGATTATATTAGGTAAGCATGTTTTTGCATTATTTCTATAATTTAAACTTGATGTTTCTTTCTTGCACTGTATTAATCGAGGAATTAATATTTTAAAATATAACGAGCCACCACTACCTTTAATTTAAAAAAATCTAATTAAATATGGGGGATTTAAAGGGGATTGAAATTAAAATTAAAAACAAAAAATCAAAAATGAAAAGCGATATCAACATTTTTAGTAAAAATCAAGCCCTATAAGGAGATGAGGCCTATTGATTGTGAAAACTATCTGGTAGAAAATGGGTAGTTAAGGGAGTCTGTTAAACTGCGAAAAGTATCATTTAGAATGCCAGGCATTATATATCTTTATTCTAGTTTGTATTTGTGTAATAGTATGTATTGTGATAGGACTGATCTCATAAAATAAACATTTAAAACATTTTAGTTCTTATTTTATATAAAAGTTATTATTTTAAAAGGTATTTAAAAAATATATTTTTTATTTGACATGTGTGACAAAATGTGAAAATGATTAAATTTACAATAAAAACTGAAAAATGGTAGGTAAAGTTTCATATAATATTTTTTACACAAAAATCAATGTCAAGCTTTCTACATAACCTTATATATATTTAAAAATAATCTCAAATTATGAAGAAAAGTCAGTTAACTAATAATGTTTTTCTACACCCGTATTATAATAATGCACTTATATGCCCATAATCCGTTTCATAATGATACCCATTATGATACAGATTTTTCATTATGATACAGATTTTTAATCAATAGAAACCTACAATTTTTCAATCAAGCATGATGTTTGACGTTTGTCCTAAATTCCTATGTAATTGTTTTAGTTGTCAAAACGTATTAAATTTTCGTAGATAGCTAAACTTCGATAATTATAATATTAAAATGTCTGATATCAGCGATATAGAAGACTCCTCCACACATATAGGAGAAAGGAGAAAATGCAGTACAAAATATTTTGCCCCAAAAATCTGTGGTAATACCAATACCCAAGGTAATACCATTAATTACAATTTTGTAGAATTTTTTATAGAAATACGAGTAATTACTGTTATTGTGTTCAATACCAATATAAATAGAATATTTATAGGTCTTGATTATTTATCGGGTGTAGAAAAAATAGCGTATGCAACTCTCATGTAATGGTTATTAAAAAACTCGCATAAACCATACGAAACTCGCCTTTGGCTCGTTTCGTATCCCGGTTAATGCTCGTGTATTAATAACCATCATTACATGATCGTTGCATAATATACTATTATAGGTGGTTTTCAATGTATTAAAAACAAAACAAATATCACACTAACTAAAATATTCATTTATTAATAGTTATAGTGCTTGAAAATAGTATGATGTTGATAATAACTACATTTATTACAAACTCCAATAATAATAAAAACAGCGATATTAGCTCTTGTACAAAGTTTTGGGCCGAACTTACAAAAATGATCAAATTATTGGAAAAAGTGAACACCCATTTCAAATTACCACGAGCCGCCACTGCACTGTTGTCTACCACTTAATTCATATACTCAAAATTTAAAAATTCCAGGATAGGCTTAGGAAAAATTACTTCATTATATATTTATAAGTCTGGTTGGCAAATCGTGTCTTAATTCCTTGTACAAAATAAACATTTCATTTTGGTCTTCATTTCCTGCCTACCTAAATAGATTTAAATCTTCTTTCAAAGATTTTTTTTAAAACAACCATTGTTCTCAAATTTGAACATATCACCCTACCGGTCGGTATAAAATTCAGTTATTGTTTTCACAAAGGGTTTCACACTTGACACATTGTTTGATTTGCAGATTTCTCTTCTTTATAATTTGGTAAATCAAAATTTTGAAAATGTTCAAAGAGAATTCCCTAACTTTCGAAGGAATTCCTCGAATTCCGTACATATGTGTACACAGAGTTCCCTATAAATTTACCCCTCGGAATAAAATAAAACGTCAAAAAGTCAAAGATTGGCTTACTTAAGGGTTAAAATGGATATTAGAAACGTACCTGGTTCTGGTTCTGTTTCTCTTTTAATGGAAATTGATTCTGAACTCGAGCTGCGTCTTCTGTTTTCCGTTGGGAGTGGTTGCTGAGGTTTTGGTGTAGATGTAAGAGGATCATCTTTAAGTTCAAAGTCAACAGCCACACGTTTTTGACCTTTAAATCTTGTGTCTCGTCCTATACCATTGGATTTCTGAAAAAAGAAAAAGTTGTGAAATTAAAAAAGTTATAGTATATAATATTTTGTCGATTTTCTATTGTACAATTGTTTTTCTTCTATGCCTGATGATGGCTATGGACTGAAACTAGTTACCGTACTTACTATACGAATTTTCTATTGTGGTAGACTTAAAACCAGTCGCAAGAATTTACGACATATTTGAAAAATGGTTTGAAACAGTTTTGTTGTCTTAAACTCCTTAGGGAGAAATAAAACGTATTAGTCATAGACAATGCTCCAAACTATTCGAGAAAATTAAGATTTTATAAAATACAATTAAGTGAAAACGTACATTTAAACAAAAAATTGGACTAGCAGACTATATTTTACAGCGTGTGTAGGTGTAAAACAGAAAGATGGGGCTTTTAAATTGTTTGTAATGATCCCCATGTTTTATTAAATTTTGACTGCACTATAGTCTATTTTTATGTATGAGAGAGTAATAAAACAGCATTTCTAATGCAAAACTTAGTACGGTAATTTTAAATATTTTTACAGAATAATCTAAATATTTCCTAAAATTGTAATAAATGTACCTGAGCTATTACAAGTTTTGGGTCTTTTATTGGTCCTTTATAAACATAAGCTGTACAGAACAATAGAAAAAGGTTTGGACAGGCCAAAAGCCCTGTGTATTAAATATTACAAAGCCGTCTCTTAAGATTATTTTCAATAAGTACCTATTTGCCAATTTTGTTTTATTTTAATTCCAAGAATTTCTTACAGTAATCGAATTATAAGTAGATAAATACCTTCCCAACAAATTTCACCGAAAATGCGATTATAGGTTTTCCATTTAGTAAGGAGGTCCAAGTTGTGTATTCTTGACAGTTTACTAAATGTCGTTTAGTTGCAACTTGCAAAGTGCAGTGTGGATTCTAGTGTGATCATGGAAAATTTGGAAGGGCCGCGTAAACGACAAAAAATTGGTCATTTAACAGTTAATGAAAAAATATTAATATTTAATGGTTTTAAATCATTTACAGACAAACATTTATGTAAAAGTGTTGATGACACAGTGGAATTAGTTAGTAGTACGCTTGGTGTTGGGAAATCTACGATTTATAGAGTTGTTAAAGAAGAGAAATGTGGCGAGTTTCAAACAGCACGTAAAGCTCCAGGAAAACCAAAATTTCAATCAGAAAATCTTTTGAAAGAAAGACTTCGAAGGAAAGTGCATGCGTTCTTCTTTAGTAAAGAATTTCCGACAGTAGACAAAGTTCTTGCCACGGTTCGAGATGATAAGGATTACCCTGAAATGAGTCGAAGCACACTATGGAAACTTTTAAAAGCAATAGGTTTTCTATGGAAAAAGCATTCCAGAAAGTCTATTTTAATAGAAAGAAGCGATATTGTAGTATGGAGAAGAAATTACCTAAGGACTATAAAAGAAATGAGAAACTAAAGAATATATTTTATTTAGATGAAACATGGATCAACGAGGGACATAAACTAAATAAATTTTGGCAAGATGAAACTGTTACAAGTCGAAGACAGGCTTTTTTAAATAATTTATCTACTGGTTTAAATCCACCATCAGGAAAGGGGAGGCAGACTAATAATCGTACACATCGGTAGTTCAAACGGTTTTGTTAAAGGTGGTTTATTGACTTTTGAATCTACTCTTACCGGTGACTACCATGAGGACATGAATGCTGATGTCTTTAAAGAGTGGCTCGAACAAATTATAGATCTTCTTCCTCAAAACTGTATAATAGTAATGGATAATGCAAGTTATCACTCGAGACTTATAGAAAAAATGCCCACAACCAAGTGGTTAAAAAAAGATTTAGAGAATTGGCTAAATTCAAAGAATATTAAGTTCCATCCCAGTTCTGTGAGAAAAGAACTGTATCATTTGTGTTCCCTTCATAAAGAGAAATTCAAAAAATATGAAATTGATGAAATTGCAAAAAATCGTGGGATGACGGTGGTTAGATCACCACCATATCATTGCGAAGTAAACCCGATTGAACTGATATGGGCACAGATAAAGGGAGAAGTTTCAAGAAAAAATAATTCTTTTAAAATGAGTGATGTTAAAAAGTTGTTTTTGGAGGCTGTAAATAATGCGAAGCTTGAAAACTGGGAAAAGGCAGTAAATCATACGATTAAAGAAGAAGAGAAAATGTGGAAGTTGGATAATATTACTGATGAAATGATCGAGCCACTCATTGTAAATATTGGTTGCGACAGTTCATCTTCTGATTTCGATTCTGATTTGGATTTGTAGGTAAGAAGTAGTTTTTATATTAAAATTAATATTTATGAACGTAACGTTGTTTAAAAGTCAAAGATTAAACCCTTATACCTACATAACCCGTTTGACACAATGTTCTTAACATACCTTGTGGAAAAATAAAACATTTTAGAAAAAATTGCACTTTTTTACCTTCAGCTGTTTAGAAGTTATAAGTAGGTTAATTAGGTGAAAATATATGTGTATACTCGAGGAATAACTTCAAAAAATATTTTAACTGTCTACTAACAGAAGTGATACGCCTATGGATTACGCACGCTTTATTATTTTAATACTCTCTCATACATAAAAATAGACTATAGAAGATGGAAAACAAAAAATTTCGAAACATATGTAGTGCTTGTGCTTAAATGATAGAAAATAAAAACATGACCGAATAAACCAAGGAAATTTGTATTTATAGTTCTGCTACGGTCAGGAAATATTCGAATATTTAAATTGTTCAAGAACCTTATAAGAAAATTTACTTTAGGCTTCTGATGAATTCAAACTAAATAAACTCAAATAAGTAACTACACAGAAAAAAAATTATCATCTACATTCAAGAAAAGCTTTACACTTGGAAGATTACATTTGTTTGAAATAAAGCAGAATCTGGCAAATTGGCATTAGCGCGTGTTCATCCTTTTGTCCATTTTCTAACATGTTTGCATCGTATCGTTAGGTTAGGTTGCGTTTTACTTTTTGTTAGAAATTCTTTGTGATTTAATTAATAAGTGTAGGAATAAATTAAAATTGTTGTTATATGAATGGGGCCTCAGCGACCTCAAATCAAATCAAATCAATTTGTTTAAATATTAAAGTACATTACCTAATAGTGAAAAAATAGTTATACAGAAAAAAAAAATTCTTTAAAGACATCTGATTGAGCATCGAACCTAGGCATTTCTGCCTGTTTTGCTTCTGATCAATCAGATGACTCTATTTATGTACATATTTTTTTTAGAGACAGGTATTAAATTTTACATATAATTATTTATCACTTAACAAAAGATACAATATTTAAAAATTAGAACAAGGGACGAAGAAATTCGACAGAATAAACCGATAAATAAAAAGATAAATAAAAAATAGACAGTACCTTAGGAAAAGTAGACAAAAACTACGATGGTCCTTTGGGCTTTTAATATGTGTTTTATTTATACTATGTTATCATTAGATCCTAAATTTTTTTTGTTTGTTATTAATCAATTTTAAACTTTTTTGTTTTGATTATTTGCCTGAGGTGTATCGGAATTATGTTAAAAAATTTTGGGCCAAAGAATGATAATGACCTTTGACTAAGTGATTTTTTGAAAAATTGTACAGGAATCTCCATATTAGCGACTGAGCGTGTTAAGCGGGTATTTTTTTGAGTAAAATTTTCAGCATTGGTATATATTTTCATTATACATTGATAAGCAAAAAGTAATTTGACGTTTAGTATGTTCGATTCATCGTACAATTTATTTGTAGAAAATAGTCTCTCTTTTTTAGGATAATTTTTAAAATAATATTTTGTGTTGTCTCTACAATTTTAATAGTGGTGTTAAATGCTCCACCCCATGCTATTATGCAATACCTTAATATAGATTCCACTAGGGAGTTATAAAGTATCATTATATTTTTCTTTGAAAGAATGTCCCGGAGAACATAAAATTTGTGCATTAGGGCTCTCAGTCTATTACTAACATGGACAATATGCTCAGACCAACGTATGTATTGATCAAGTATTACACCTAGGTATTTTTCTATCAAGGGGCAGTTACAATCGCTTTTTTGACAGTCACTACTATGCAATTTTATACAAAAGCTGTTAGGTTGATTAACGATGGTTGAACTAAAAGTAATGCATTTTGTTTTCAATACATTTAGAGTTAGTAGATTGTTATTTAACCATAAACTTATCTTTCTTAGGGCCGTTTCTCCAGTGAGTTTAACCTCTTCCCATTCTTTTCCAGCGAAAATAATTACCGTATCATCCGCATAGCATATGATATTCCCAGATAAGTTATTAATTTGTGTAATGTTGTTCATATAGACCAGAAACAGAATTGGGCCCAATACTGTTCCTTGTGGGACCCCCATCTTTACTACTGATTTAGAACTTCCGGCGTTGCCAATTTTTACGCTCTGGGTTCTATTAGATAAATAATCCCTCAGGAGCCTTAATGCTAAACCCCGTATGCCATAGTTATTTAGTTTGTCAAGTAAAATGTTATGAGAAACGGTATCAAATGCTTTGGCCAAATCAAGAAATACTGCAGCACATTTTAATGATTCATCTACAGCGTTAACCGTCTTTTCCAAAAAATCAACTACCGCATTTTCAGTGCTTGAGTTTTGTGTAAAACCGTATTGACAATCTGTAATAACATTATGATTATGAAAAAAAATAATTAATCTACGTTTTACTGCATTTTCAAAAATTTTAGCGAAGTTGTTGATAACAGAAATTGGCCTATAATTTGTAAGCTCACTAGGGTCTCCGGATTTGTATAGAGGTGTGACAATTGATTCCTTCCATTGACTTGGAATTTTTCCTGATTGAAAGCAAATATTAAGGATATGCGTTACAGGAAGAATAATATATTCATTTATATTTTTTATTGTAGTTGCTGTTAATTTATCTGGACCAGGTGCAGAGCTATTTTTTAATTTGCTTATTAAAATAGTTACTTCATTTTTGTTACGGGTTTAAAGAATATGTTGTTTTCAACTTTATCATTTTTAA